ACTAAACCATGTCACCCAAGGTTCTGTCCAACCTGTCCTTGAACACTGCCAGGGATGGAGCATTCACAACCTCCCTGAGCAACCCATTCCAGTGCCTCACCACCCTAACAGGAAAGAACTTCTTCCTTATATCCAATCTAAACTTCCCCTCTTTAAGTTTGAACCCATTACCCCTTGTCCTGTCACTACAGTTCCTTAATGAAGAGTCTCTCCCCAGCATCCCTATATGTCCTATATTTGATGCTTTTCTTGCATCTAAAGAAGTCTGAGTATCAAAGAGAGAGCAAGCAGTCAGTAAGTTTTGCGTGTTTAGAGGTTTGGATATCAGTAACACCAGCGAGTTAATTCTCTGTTTATATTCTGCTGTACAAACCTCAGGGAAGCCCGTAATAGCTGATAAGTTTTATGTAACTCTTCAGAGAGCCAAACCAAAGAAAAAAATGTGAGTTTATATAGCCCTGTCTTTTAAATAGCTACTTCCTAATTGGCAATGCTTAAATCGGGCAATTTTTAGTCTTTTCTTGGAGCTAACTGATGTCTCTTCTTAAAATTAAAAAAAAAAAAAAAAATTAAATAGGGCAAAAATACAACTGAGCCCTCATTGCATTCTTCCAGCATTCAGAGCCAGATGAAAATCTGCACCAGATAGAAAAGCACTGTTTTGTTCAACCAGTCTAGAGCTAGCAAAGCTCGTACCAGCCTCTGTGTGTAATGGCGCATGAAAGTGATTGTTTTGAAAATAACTGTGTCGGTTTAAAATATTACTGCCTCTCTCCCAGAGGATGCCACCCAGTCAGCAGACTGAAAACACAGATAATTCTAAGCTGCTTCAGGAGAAAGCCCAGTATTTAACGCATAAAATGCCAAGGGGGATCAGAGCAGCTTGAGTTAAGCTCTTGGACTTTACACTGAAACAGCTCAGAGGCACTCACCTCTCTGCCATGACAACTGGGGCAGGCAACTTTGGCAGGTACAAAGAATTGGGGGCAGTGGTGTGTCAAACAGCCACAGTTGCCTTCTCAGTAAATGTATCTGAGCAATAAGCATGGCTTTTACCTTGCCCTTTTGGGTTACAGGTTCACAGCATTTGGACAAATGCTGAGGTCTTAACCACTAAATTAAATAGCTAACACACAGGCATCAGGAAAAGGAAGATGGAAAAGGTCCTCAGAAATAAACATTCTGTGTGAAAAAACTCAGATTTAATTCCAAGTTTTCTACATGATGTAGCCAAATCTAAAGGGAACATTAAGCTCCTATTTTCTGACTCAGTCTGCTCCAGACAACAACAAAATTTTGCCCACACAATAATTAACTGTTCAGTGGTGGGAACAGTATAGGCAGAAAGCTTTTGCTTTTCGGAATCTATCCATTCTGCATTTCTTTTCCCTTTATAAGAAATGTACAAGACAGTGGCATCCTTGATCCAGTAATGGTTAAAGAAAACAGTGACTTAAGCCATTTCTTTTCTTGAAATCTTTACAGTTCTTCTGCTCTGTGATGATATTGATATTGTAATCTGACCAAAGAAGCCCTTAGCACACTTTCTTTCTAAACATACAATCCACTTCTGTAGCATTGTATATCTGGATACATACTTCCTAATATAAAGCTATCTGTAAATCAGACTGGACTGCTATTTTAGGCAGGCCAGTATATAGCTCCTACACAGAGCAACAGCCTACTTTTTGTTTTAATACTCACTGTGCTATTGTTTTTAAAGCTTTGGATTTTGGCTTGAAATCCAGACCACCATGAGTTTAACAGTAAAACTTTCACCAAGTTCAGTCTGATCCAGATTTCAACATAAATACCTAATGTTGCTAATGTGGGATGTGGTAAACTTGATCATCAAGTTTTTTATGGCCACAACAGATGTTCCTTCTTTTAGACCAATGGAAAGCTACCAAACCTCATCCACCCTCTAAAACAAAAATACAAGCATTTGTTTACAACTTGATTCCAGGAATATGAATTGAATTAGCATCTGTGAAGCTTGTTCTTGTTTACTTACAAATAAACATATGCACAAGTCTTGCTTTTCCCAAAGAACCATGATGTTGTCTGAATAGTATTTACCCTATATAAGAAACAGTATTTTTAACAGTCTAATACTGCATTATAATTTGTTTGGCACAATCAAAATACCAGCATAGTATTTGTGACCTTGTTTTTAAAAAAATCATTTTTTTTTCTTTCTTTCTTATATCTAGTAGATGAGAACAACATAATTTGTGTATATGCATTGCATTTTGTATACTTATAACTTAGACTGACTACAATACAACATTCTCATAATCATAACCCAGGCACAGCCTATAGAAAAGTAAGATACTGAATATAAGTGATTTTTTTTTTTCCTACTGGTAGCATTCAATGAATTTTCAAATGGGCATAAAATTTTGAAATACTGGTGCCTTCTCCTAAAGCAGGAGAAAAACCATGACCGTGTAATAGCTGAACTGACACTTTCTAATATATTGGTATTTTTAATTATTGGATATCTTACTAATGCATGCTTCACAAATCCTCAGGGCAGACAAAAAGGATTGAGAGTATATCCTAAAAGTTAGTTTCATGAAGCGATTAAGACTGTGGTCACACGAGTAATTCAACCCTCTGATTAACTGAGGTGTCTCGGTTGGAAAAGAGAACAGGAAGCTGTGAGCAGATAACATAATCCCCAAAAGTAATTTTGCTGCTCCCCATGAGTGGTAAATTTTCCCTGGATGAGACAGAGCTAAGTTTGTCTCACTTTCAGACGCCTGCATTCCTGAGCACTCCCTGCTCCTTCTTCAGCCCTTCAGACAAGCAGCTGTTTTTTTGCAGGCAGTTGTCATAGTGCAATTTGCTCCATGGCCAAGCCTTGCTGTTCCTGTGCCCATTAGCTAAGGCTTAGCTATGGCTCTGAGACTCAGCATCCTCAGCTGTAATGACAAAGCAGCCTAAGCCAGTCCTAGACTAGAACCACTTTGGCTTTGCCCTTCATGTCACAGTCACCCTGGCCATGTGTTGGCATGTTCTCTGCAGTGTGCTGTGCTGACTGCTGTCATCCAACCCCATGCAAAGCCATTTCAGTAATCTGGCAGAAAACTAACTCAGCCAAAAAAGCCTCTTGTTTTCAATTCTCAGATCACAGGCTGCATCACATGGGGAATTCTTTGCATCACGTGCAGGTGGATTAGAGACTGCACAAAAAGTACAGCAGAGGCAGGAGCAAGAAATACAAAACTCTATAATGAACAGTTGTGCCTCAGGGAACCAGGTACTTAGGAAGAAAAAATGTGTGTGGTGTTTTCCCCCCTTCCAAGTTGTTGGGTTTGATGCATGCTTAGAGAGGTTCCTAAAGCATGCTGGCACTACCTTCAGGAACACCTTGCTTGCTCCAAAGGGCTTCCTAGAAATCCCTGAGCAAACAGACCTGAATTATGTGACCCCTTTGCTGAGTATGTGCTCCTACAACTGCTGGAAAATAAAAACTGCATGTACCCACATGGTAGTTGAAAGTTCAGCCCATGGTTTTTTGGGTGGGTGGCTTTATTCCACTTGGAAGGATCTGGAGTAGAGGGAAAGAACTGGCCACAACCACAACACTTGCTGAAGTGGGTTACAAGAGTAAAAATAGCTTGTGACAAATATAAGGCATGGGAACCTGAACTCTGCTTGGAGTGACTGAGAATCCTGTAGGGTTTGGGTGTCACTGGGAAAAGGACCCCCCTCATCCTCTGTGGAGGGGGGAAACTTGCAGTTCAGCACAGCAAAGTACCTTTCAGGTGACAAGAGTAGTCATGGGGAAAGGATATAGTGGATAAACCATGATTAAAATGAACAAAAGGTGAATTTCTGGTTATTACATAAATACAGGAAAAACACCAGATTTTGTCCTTTTGTTCCTGTTGACTTCAGGTATGGGTTGGTTAGATAGGCAAGGTCCCTGCTATCTGGCTTGCATCTAAAAACTCCAAACCCATTCAAGTTCTGATAAACCATCATTAGTGATACATGCACATTTTAAACAAATGCCCTGTTAACAGCAGCTTCAGGGAAGGAAAACAACACAAAACCATGCATCTGATCATAGGTCATTATGAAAGTCAGCAAAACCACAGGTAATTACTGCTTGGACTTTTGTGGACATAACTATGCACCCACATGCCATGTGACATATGGGGAGCAAGTCCAACGCTTCACTAGAGAGCTGAGCTTTCTGCACTTGGATGGCGCAGAGGCTCAGACCACATGCTGTGCATGCAGTGCTGCAGATGGCATCAGCTTTACCATGCTTAAACAAATCATAGAATCCACTAGGTTGGAAAAGATCTTTAAGATCATCAAGTCCAACCATTACCTCAGGACTGCCGAGACCAACACTAAACCATGTCACTGAGGGCCTCATCTACACGGTTTGTGGACACTTCCGAGGACGGTGATTCCAGCACTGCCCTGGGCAGCCTGTTCCAATGCCTGACCACCCTCTCTGTGAAGACGTTTTTCCTGCTATCCAGTCTAAACCTCCCCTGGCACAGCTTGAGGCCGTTACCTCTTGCCCTATCACCTGTTAGTTTGGAGAGGAGACCGACCCCGTAAGGGAGGAAACAAAAAGTAGGCAAAGAGGGCTTCTAGTTGAAAAAATGAAGGAGATAACGGAGAAAATCAGGTGTTGTTTTCCAAGCCCTGCAGTGTTATGGCAGACACCGCACTTGAATGCGATCTGTGGAAAACAACACAGAGAGTGCAGGCTGAATTCAGTTTGTTTTGACGGTAAAGACACGGCGTGCAAGCAGCGTGTTGAGCCTGCTGTTTCAGTTCAGCGGTGAAAGGCACGAAGCGACCCCACGGCTGCCACCCGCGCCCTGAGCAGAGCCTGAAGCGGGCCCCATCTCGAGGGCCCGCTGGGCACGCTGGGACCGGTAGTTCTGATAAGGCGAAGCCTGCAGGCCTTGCCGGGGTAATGAACTACGTTTTCCAGCGTGCACCGCGGAGCGGAGGAGGCGATAAAAGGGGCAGTGAGGGCGCCGGCTCACGTTGGCGGGCAGGTCTGTTGCTGCGGAGGGTTGTGCGGCCGGCAGGTGCCTCTGGGGCCGCCCCGCCGCTCCCTCATGAGGCCGCACGACCCGCCGCAGGGCGGCCCCGCCGCCGTGCTGCCGGAGCTAGAGATGCTGAAGCAGCGGGCGTGCGAGAGCGTGGAGCTGAACGCGGAGCGGCTCAGCGCACTGAGCCGCGACATCTGGAGCCGGCCTGAGCTGGCCTACGAGGAGCACCAGGCACACGACACCATGACCCGCTTCTTCTCCAGCGGGGAGCTGCCGGGCGCCGCCTGGGCCGTGCAGCCGCGCTACAAGCTGAGCACGGCCTTCCGCGCAGAGTGGGGCACAGCCGCCCCCCCGACACAGGGCCTGCGCCCGCTCCGCGTCGCCTTCCTCTGCGAGTACGATGCCTTGCCCGGCATCGGGCACGCCTGCGGCCACAACCTCATCGCTGAGGTGGGAGCCGCCGCCGCGCTGGGGCTGAAGGCCGCCCTGGAGAGCCTGCCGCAGCCGGCGACCGCCGCCGTCCAGGTGAGAGCCCCGCCGAGGGCGGAGGCTGCGACCTCGGCCCCGGTGGGTCGGGCGTGCCCTGACTCTGCGTTTCTGCTGCAGATCACGGTGCTGGGCACGCCTGCGGAAGAGCAAGGAGGAGGCAAAATAGACCTGATAAACGCTGGAGCGTTTGATGGCATGGATGTGGTTTTTATGGCACACCCGTCGCAAGAAAACGCAGCTTACCTGCCCGATGTGGCCGAGCATGAGTGAGTGAGCACGTTCAGGTGGAAAGGACGGGCTTGTGACTAGCCTTTTCTTCCTTCAGTAAGGGAGCTGCTTTGGGAGGGACTGAGCTTTAGGGCTGGAGACCTTGCAGGTGCCCTTCAGATGAGCTAAGTGTTTGTAGTTAGCTAAGGAGACGGGTTCTGGACACTCTTGAGCCATTATTCAGGAGTGCAATGTTCAGCCTAGTGTTAAAGGTCCCTGACTGCACTGGGATAATCTTGCATGTATCCCAAAAATCCATTCTTTTGATGTTTCAGGGTGTTTCTGTCTGAACATCCATTATCGCATCCATTAAGGAAAAAAAGAGGGCAGCTGAAGGGGATGTCATGGATGATGATTCCTTTCTTTCCTGCTCACCAAGTCATGTAGTCCTCTGTATGCATTTTATTTTAACCAGTTTTGAAAGTGCTTCTGTTACTGCTAAGTTTCTATGGTAAAACAGATGAGGTTAGGAACACTGAGTCTTCCTTCTCCAGCTACCTCTCTGTTATATTTCATCATTGTGTTTCTGAAGAGGCTTAACCAGTTATTGTAGTCTTCTTCCAAGAGTTATCCTAACTTGTTTTTTGGTTACTGTACCCTAAGTCTATATAATTTTAAAAATGCAGTTTTCATTGATAATTTTATCTTTCCCTTCATTTCAACTCTTGCAATAGCCTTTTAAGTTTGATAAGTTAAGATTGAGAAATCTCCCTTCAGAGGTGATGGATGTAGGACTCTGCTGTATGATGCAAGTCCTGGATAACCTTTAAACTGGAATATGGAGGCAGCATGGAGTTGAAGAGTGAAACAACTTACTACTTCCGAAAGCTTGGAATACTGAGTTTGTCATGATTTATGTAATTATGAAATTCTAAAGGTACAAGGGCTGTTTCAATAATATAATTGGTCTTTAGTTGTTTCCAAGGAATTTAACCACTAAATTGCTAGTACTACTGTATCTGCAGCCTCTGAAAGCTGGTTTGTGCCTATGGTAAAATTAGCACAGTGCGATAATTGTGGTGGATACATGCCAAAATTTGCTTATTCTTTTTTGCTTATCCTTCGCTTAATCTGCCTATTTATTGTTGGTCAAACAGGACCCACATTCTTCTGCTGATACTCTTAGACTGGTTTAGGGTGGTTTTGTTTTCACCAAAATCTGTTGGGTTTTTCTAAGAGTATGTGACATCTGTGCAGCAATAGAAGTACAGGAAAAGGAATGCTGAAAGAACTTTTTTTTTTAATAAGCACAAGTTTCTTGGAATGGGAAAAAAAACTGCAATGAGACTTTCTGCTTGACTTTGTCACCTTCTCTCCATTTTTATTGGAGAATATCTAGGGATCTGCCCTGCTGCCTTTGTGAGTTGATTTGAGGGATTGCAGTCTAATACTTGGGATTTTAATGGATAAGTTTTATATCTGGGTTTCATAATCATAATTTTAAATATATCTCGTACTTCACAGAATAAGATGTATGGTTGTCTTGGAGGATGAGGAGGAATGGAAAAGGGCATACTTGGGTTGCAGGCAGTAGCAGGAGGTGTTTTCTGCTGCAGCAGTGCACTCCGTTGTATCCTTCTTTGCTGTCCAGTATTTAAGTGCCAGTATTAACACAGCATGGCTCAGAGTGTGAGGGTCAGCTCAGCATAAGTGGCTAAGTTGGCGTTTGTGCAATACAAGCAAGTTAGGCTTGTCCTCTCTGCCAAGAGACAAGTTGTGGGGAGCTCTGAGCTTGAAGATGGATTTTTTTTATATGAAAGACTGAGTGTTGAGTACAAACAGATTTAGTTAAAATCTCTGCTACTGGCAAAAAATGAATAGTTGTGTATTTGATAAATAGCAGTACCTCATGTAGTTAACAGTATTTAATATTTGCCTTTCATGTAAAAAGTTTTCATATAGTTAGAAATATTAAGTTGTAGAGCTAATATAAATGGCCCTCAGATGAAGCAAAGCATGAAAATTCTTACTGCATATGTTCAGGTGCAGTATTTTGGCTTCTGTGAAGTTTGAAGATAGCCTTTATTATTAGATCTCTTTCCATCAGCTTTTTTGAGGTGTACAGGGAAAGAATATCAACTTTACACCAGTGTAGTGCCAGGCAAATTGTTTGGTGGTGTTCTGCACAAAACCGAAACATTTATCTGAACAAAAGGAACTTTTATTTTAGAGGTTTTTTCAGTGAATGGAAAAGAAATAAGTAATGCCTTTTATTTCCTAGTGTGACTGTGAAATACTATGGAAAAGCTTCTCATGCTGCTGCTTATCCTTGGGAAGGAGTTAATGCATTAGATGCTGCTGTTCTTGCATACAACAATCTGTCTGTTTTAAGACAGCAAATGAAACCGACCTGGAGAGTTCATGGTGAGATCTTAATTAAATCTAATGCCTAGCAAGTAAGAGCTTAGGCTGTTGAAATACTAACTTACAAAATCCCACAATTTAAAGTATTGCATTATTGCGCTAAATTATTATAGTCTCTTCAAGTATTATGAAATAGCACAATTTCTTTTAAATAGCTTTCGGTCACCTTTAAAATCATGTCAGTGTCCAGTACTAGCTTCTGAAAATAGGCTTATAGGTTGGATTCCAAAGAGGACTGTGGTACCTAGGTAGAGGCTAGGCAATTTTTAAGTGTTTGCACTTGGAAGTTGCAGTTCATAAAGAAAAAAAAGAAGTGCAAAGTTTATTTTGGAACATGGCCTTGAATTCCTTATAGTTAATGTGCATGTTCTTGCAAAGGTGTAAGGTTAAATGCTTCCGAAAAAGTGTTACTGCAGGATTTTTTGTAGTAGGCATTCCGTTAATTACATGATATTTATTGAAAGGGTGTCTGGGTTTGGAGTGATTGAAATTTATTTGCTGAAGTACAAAACCGAGCGATGGCAGAAGCCTGTAGTTTGAGTTAGTAGCCCAATCAACTAGATGTTCACTGGATTGTAGTATTTAATATCTACTAGAGCTCAGATTAGAAAAGTCACTTTTGTAATTAGACATGTTAACCATTAAGCTTCACTCATACGCCTTCAGCATCATGTATTTCTTTTTGTACAGTGAGAAAGTTTCAGAAGTTGACATGGAAGCTGCCCTTCATCTCTAAACCCAGGTTTCCCTTATTGCACCCAACACAGCTTTTTTTTTCAGTTTGAAATTAAGAAAGTTTGCCATTTCTGCAGGACTTCTGAATGTAGAACTGTTTATTTGGAATACTTGTTATGAGCTAAAAACACATACAGAAGTTCTGAGCTAATCATTATGCCTCTTAGTGCTTGTGCTGTATAATATATGCATGTATTTCTCTCCAGGATATCTGGATGGAGTCTGGAAGCCCTGACTGTTTGCAGTTTTGCTGTGCAGCAATACCCAAATGAATTTCACACCTTGGGCATAGCCTCTCTATCCTATTACTTTGTAAGAAACAGGGTACTTAATTATGAGCTCTGGTGTGTGAAAGCAGAGTGTTGCAGGTTTAAGGTTGGAGGTGCCCGAGTCTTCTATTGAATCTAAGCATAAACCCCTAAATACTTTCTTCATAGTTTCTAAAAGCTACATGGTGGCAAAAAGTTAACTATCTGAACAAGCGTCCTAGAAGTAGCACTTCTGAAGTACGGCAAAACTTAAATTGCTTTGTTGATGCATCTGCTGTCATAAGCCTGGTTTTCAAACTGGAAATACTTAAAATACTTTTGGGAAAGTATAAGCAGTCAGAATGAGATTCAATTTTAGGAATGCTTTTTTTAGAACTGTGTGTTGGAGATCTCATGTTGTAGACTTGTAGTAACAGCAGTTGCTGACTGAAGTGATCCTAAGAATCTTAGTTTTAACCCACTAACAGAAACTGAAATAATTTTCTTTACTGAAGTTTGGAATTTCTAAGCCATTTTTTATGTCCCTGAATATTGTTGGTTGAGTTTGTCTGATGCTTCATGAGTAAATGTTATGTTGCCCTCTTGAAATACAGGAATGTAGATTTCTTTTTCTATTTAAGAAGTTGTATTAAACAGGTTGTAAAAAAACCAAAACAGTTCCATCTAGAAGGGCAAGCTGGGTGCTATTAGTCGTGTGCAGGCAGCCTACTTTTAAGCTCGATAATCTGTCCAGTCCTTATTGCAGCTGCTTTGAAATTTAAGTGTAAACATACTCTCAGACTCTATCCAGTTCTGTTTACAAGTGGAAATTATTTACTTATTGAGCTACTTATTTTGAGCAAATGTGTATGGACAGTGTGTGTCCTGCAAACTTGCACGATTGCCTGCTGGTTCCTTTGCTGTGCTTTTCCTTTTGTTGTGGACTAGAACTGATAGTGGTTTAAATCAGCACTTTATTTACTTTATTTGGGAGTGAAAAGTTTTACTTGAGGGGGAGTTCATAGTCTTAATAGGTTTTCTGCACCAGAAGTAAAGATTTGTTGCCCATTTGCCTCCTGATAGTGCTGTCATTTCAGGTTTCAGTGACATGCATCAGTAGCTTTGAGCAGTATTTCCGTTTAAAGTAGATAGTTCCTCAGATTCTACAGAAAACAAATCTTACTCCACATATATAAATTGAGGGTAGGAGGCCAGGGAAACAAGCAAAGCACCCTGTTGAAAGCAACTAGCTGTTAATGCACTGAAATCTAATGTAGAATGGAAGTCTACAATGTTTATTGTTGAAATACTTAGGTACTAAGGCTCTGACATAATTGAAACTATGTACTTGGCACATGTTTTATTGAGGGAATAGTTTCAGCTCAAACTTCACTCTGGAATAAAACTACCTATATTATACATTCCAATATTTCTAAAGAATTAGTACGAGGAATTTAATGAACTTTCTGTGGACTGCAACACGCACATTGCTCCAGTATTGTTGAGCAGTGCAACTTACTCAGTTTCTCTCCAAACCGGCAAAATAAGTTGGAAACCTTTAAAAGTTGGAATCCAAGATAGCCTTTATAAATCTTATTTCAGTGGCAGCCATCTTGCTTTATGACTCTGCATTGAATTTCAGGGCATTAATTACAAATGCTAGTTTGGCTTTAAGGTTTATAACAGATGTCTAACCAAAGAATGTAATGAAATTGTGCTGAAAAATATGCACATGTTCCACTTAATCTGATGGGATGAAGAAACTTTATCCACATACTGTATTTTTGACATTCTTCGTATTTCATGCTTGGCTGATGTGTTGGTTTTTGTTTATTTAGTTTTTGAGCAAAGAGTTTCATGGCAGAGCTGAAGATCAAGTAGTTATAGTTAACACTGGTAATATGACTTTTCCCTTTCTGCAGGTGTAATAAAAAATGGTGGTGTGAAACCCAACATCATCCCTTCTTACACTGAGCTGGAGTTCTACTTGCGTGCCCCTTCAATGAAAGATCTTTCTGTTCTGATCGAAAAGGTTGAGAACTGCTTCAAATCTGCAGCACTTGCCACAGGATGCAAAGTAAGAATGTATTAATGCTCATGCATTTAATATATGAAGGTAAGGTAGGCTGGAATAGGAAATGGAGGCTTAGCAGCATTTATCTGCATGGTGTTTAGCCAGAATATACTATTTGTTCTTTTGTTGCTGCGTCCCATCTAAGCAAGCTTTGGTTTATAAATAGAATGACACAGCATCATAGAAGAATCTAGGTTGGGAGAAACTTCTGGAGGTCATCTAGTCTAAGCCTCTGTTTGGAGCAATACCAGTTAGAGCAGATTTTTTGGTGCCCTGTAGTCTTCTGAGTATCTCCAAGGATGAAATCCCCCAACCTATCTCAAGTGCTCCACCCACCTCATGGTGACCAAGGTTTTTCCTGATGTTTAGACTCTGATGACTGAGCAGTGGAGCAGAGCTTGCCTGGAGTCTGTCGTGTTTCCATCTTCGGAGGTACTCGAAAGCTGCCTTGATATAGTCCTGGGCAACCAGCCCTAGATGACCCTGCTTGAGGAGGGGAGTTGAACAAGATGATTTCCAGAGTGGGTTTCCAACTTCAACCATTCTGTGATTCAGTTAGCAGTCTTTTTTTTTCTTTTTTTTTTGTTTGCTTTTAGTAAATGGAAATGTTTCCTGTAGCTGGTTCCAGCAATATGATTACCTTGCAGTGTATTGCTAAGATACATAGTTCTACCTACTCTGTAGTTACAGGTTTGTTTAATACAGCTGTGAAGAGAATGTCAGTGCTCAGCAGAACAAATAGGTGTGGTGTACATGAATGTGAGTTAGTGAGATTTAAGGTCTGTTTTAGGTATTGCATGCTGTTTACTCGTATGGCCTCTCCATTCTAGCTAGAAAAGGATTTCAGGAAGTTAAGATCTCTCTTGAAATTTGACATTGGTATGGGTTTTTTACATTTGCTTTCAAACTTTGTGCTGGTGTGAAGTCATTTATGGGTAGGGCTGTGGTACTGGACGTGTTCTAAACAATAGTAAATTTGGTGAAGGCCTAACTTGATTTCTGTGTAGTTTAATAGTACCTGCAGTGGAAACTTTTAGTCAGTTACAGGTGTTGCCTATTTATCAGTGAAGTCCACGCTTCTGGAATTTGGCTGTCTAGTGCAAAGTTGATGGAACATCAGCTTTGTTTTGATCAAGGGTAAAACTTGGCAGAATGTTGAATTTCTGAAAGAAACTTAGTACTTATGTCTGTTTTGACATGGACTTGATGTATCGATATGTATTTACTTTTTCTGGTCTTTAAATTGGTTTCATTAAACTGGCTGGAGTTGGAGAAAAACTTCTAATAACTCAAGTTTTTTTGTCTAGGTGGAAATAAAAGGTGGTGAAAATGATTACTACAACGTGCTTCCAAATAAGAGCCTGCAGAAAGTTTACAAGGAGAATGGAAAGAAGCTTGGAATAGAATTTATATCCGAAGACTGTATCTTGAATGGTTTGTCAGGTAACTCCATCTGGGCATTTTGTTACAATTTAAGCTTAAGTTGATTAGCTCTTAAGTGTATATAAGAATGGGATAGAGCTAGGTTAAACATACCTTGGTCAGAGGAAACAGCCAAATTAGAAAGTTGAAGCTCGTAAAAGGATCATACCTCTGGCCTGTGTTTCTGTATTTGTTGTAGAAACTAGGAAATTTTCCCAACAATAGTAATTTTCTGATAAGATTTCTGAAAATATTTCAAATATGAAACAGCTTGGTTGGGGGGAGGTGTGGAAGGATGGAAAGTGAAGAACACTCTTCCTGAGAACATTAAGGATGTGTAATGAATTGCAGCCCATTCTGTTGCTTTCAGTCCTAGTTTGCTGTGAGTGGAGATTGGACTTTATTTTCATGAACCTTGTTTAATAATATTTCCAAGCTTACATATAAACAAATTTGTTAGCATCTGGCTAATATTTGAGAGGGAGTTTTTGAAGAGACTTTTAAGTGGAAGTTTAAGCATCTCAAACCCTAATTTAAACCTATTTCTATTAACAGGTAATCTTATGCCTCTAACTTTAGTTCATGAGTTCAACAGATTAGTTTTCCAAAGGGTGCTGTTCAAGTAGGTGTTCACTTCTGAGTCTTGACTGTGTCTCAAACTATGTCATTTTCTTGGTCTCTCAGAGCTAAAGCAATAGGAGTGTGAATTCTTGAAAAGTCAGGTGGGTTTCTCATTACTCATAACTTGTTTTTTTTCAGAATCTTTCTGCAGGAGCTCTGTTGAAGTCTTAACCTGCTGATGATATTTTATAGCCTTCACTACTGATCATAACTGTATATCTAAACATTTTTACTCCACTTACATCAAAGATTTTCCTTTTTGGGTAAAAGGAAGAGATTGTTCTCAGTAAAAGGTTGTTACTCAATTTCATGACAGCACTAATCTTCTCTATATTAACTGCAAAATATATTTGAGATCTTGGTGCTTGGGGCGGAGTTCTCTATAAACTTTTTTCTTCCTTGTGGTATAAGTAAGGTTTACAGCTTTCCTCATTTAGCCTAAGAAAGGGTCTGAGGAATGTCCCTTAGAATGTTTACTTTAATGAAAATTTTTGGAGCTCTGGTGGTAGCTTCCCTCAAAACACTGGTTTAAGGGTGAAGATCGTGAATACCTCGTGATCTTGCATTCAGAGGACTTCTGATGAGCTTAGTACAGACACCTAATTGTAATAGTGCTTTCATATGTAACTTACATGATATGCAAAATGTTAATTCTGAAGTTGCTTAAACTGAAACTCCCCATATGCCTGTCCTGTCCTTAAATTGCTTGTCAAATGTCAGAATGTGCTTGAGCAACTGCTTTTTTTATCTCACACTACAGTAGGCTTTACTGAATTTTCTTCCCGCAGCTGGTTCTCTGAATTTTTGCAGTGGGGCTTCAGGAGTGATAACAAACCACAATCTCTAGAGACATAGGAGTGGAATTTTGTATGCTGCCCTTTTTTGGGGGGGGGTTGAATGTTTTGTCTCATCTTTTTCAAGACCTCTATTTCTGTTTAGTTTTCATATGGTTTTCAATGTTTTCTTTTAGGATATCAGTTTCTTCTGTTGAAAGGGAAGGAAGATAGCTCAGTTGCTTCTCCATGTCTGTGCAGCAGAAAAGTCCTTAACAGATGAGCATACTCGCTGCCACCTCTACATGGGTATTAGTATCGGTCTGCTCACAGGTATCGCTCTAGGCAGCTAAGCATTACAAAGAATTCCTTCAATCCATCAAATCATACTACATTTTGTGTGCCTTGTGCACACTCTGCTCATTTGGCACACAGAAAGGATGATGTGAGATAATGTGAATCTGAGTTAGCTTTGACCAGGTGACATAACCTGGTTCTCCTTCTGCTGGTAGAGTGGCTGAGCTGAGCTCCAGGGTAATGGTTGCCTCCCAAAGCAGATGGCCTAGTTTAGCATGCATTAGGTGAGGTACCCACATTTGTAATAACTTTGGTATTTTTAGCAGTCATGGATTTCATGCACAAGACTGGTATAGACGATCTTATGGAGCCAGTATGTTTTGAAAATACCACTTTTGAAGCTTGGGGCTGTATATAAATGCTTCATGGAATCTTCTGCATTTTCCCTTCCATTCTTGTGTGTGGTAATACTGATTTCCATTATGTGTTCAGTGACTTGAAGAGGTTTCTGTGTCAGCTTCAGGATATATTTTTGAGAGGCTGGAGCCCCTAGTACCTTCCTTTTGAAGACAGTGCACAAGTCTATATATTGCGTTGAAAATTGTGCAGTTATTTATGCCTCTAGAAGGAATTCCAATTCATACATCTCTACCAAGCATACAGATCCAGATGCTTGTATGGAACCCATTGGAGTAATTGACGTTTTAAACATGGCACTAGGCTAATACCACAAAAGGGTGTAACATTTTTTTTTTCTGAAAGAGGGAAAGATGTGACTGTGTCATGTTCATAAAAAGCTGTCTGGATTTTGGCTTGGTAAGCTCTCCATCCTACTAGAAAATACCAAGTTTAAATTCTTTACGTTCAGCAAAAATAACTTGTGAACTGGTAGTCGCTTGGATATGGACATAAATTTAAGTGGAATTACATGACCGAGAGCTGGGATGCACTGAAATTTTTAATGCTTCATTTGCTGAGTGAGAGCAGGGAAAAAGGCCAAGAGTCTTTCCAGAAGTATGTGTATTAGGACTTAGTAAAGCAAGTTTAGAACTCTTGGCCTAGTCTGAAGTAGGCAGAACTTCCAGACTTCTGGTTTGTCTTTCCAGACTGACTGAAGAATGGGGCAGTACTGTAGACTACTAAAAATTAAAATAACTTGCTGCTGTGCCGAGAGTTGGATTTTCTCCAAAGGCACACAGATACAGTGTGGGAAAGGATCGTGGTTTTGGACAAGTATTGCCACTTCAGCTTGTAGGCAGAGCAAATAGCAAGCTAGTCTTGTCTTTGATCACATAATGTAGGCTCTGTGGACTTGCTTTTAATAAATATATGTTTCCAAGTAAAATCTATATCCTTCAATCACGTCATTACTGAATCCTTAAGCGATACCTTCTCTCCATAAAGTATTGTGATATGGAGGCTACCTGATGTGTTACAAATAACTTTAAATCTTAAGAATAGTCACTGTGTAATGCCGTCGCTAAAGAAAAAAAACAATAAATCTTGCAGCTCTGATTGGCCTGAAAAAAAGTTAAATGAGATCTTAGTTGGTAATCCCTATTTTCCCCCACTGTGAAACAATGCTTCCTTTGGTATCTGAATTTCACAGTAATTGATATGTTGATTTCTCTGGCTTCTAAATGTTGTTTTAACAAATAGTGGGTTGCCTGTTTGCGTAGAAAAAAAACAGGTGGGGGGGTACTTAGGAAGTAATTGCAAACTCTTGGATGGTTTACTGTGAAGGATCCACTGCTTCTGGATGGAATCAGAGATGTGAGATACCAGTAGCTAACGTAACACTAGCTAGGCATGAAAGCATTAAAGTCTTCACCGTTGCTATTAAGAATTTTATGTCTACATTATGTCTGGAGTTTAGTCTGATCTTGTTATTTTAGGAGTGTTTGTGCTGCTGAAGATTTCCATAACTGAGAATAATCAAAAGACACAGGAAAAAAATAGTTGTCCTCAATCTGGTTTTGTTTAAAGATAGATTGTTCGTACTTCAGAGTCCCCTACCTAATATTTGCATATTGGTGAAAAGTGGCTGTAGCAGGAAAATAGCTGAACTACCTGGTCCTCACAAGGTTTGTAGCTTTCATTGTTTCTGAATTAACAGCTTACTCTCAGGAGATGCTTGTTAAAAACTCAACAGTAAATGGAATAGGGACATGCTGGTAAATCTTCCCTGCAGTCCAGTAACTGATTATTGATCATAAGCACAGTAGAGAGCAGCATCTGAAGATTGCTAGTTAGGGAAAACATATTGGTGATGGAGACTTCTGTATGGATGACTCACTAGGTATGCTTTTAATTTAGTATTTGGGGTAAAGGATATTACATTTTAGATAGGGGCTGGATGTATCTTTCATACATTTTCTTACAGCAGTTGAAGCTCTTTAACACTTGTTCGTTAAGAAAATTTCTATTCTGCTTCTAGGTTCCACAGACTTTGGAAATGTTACATTTGTAGTCCCTGGGCTTCATCCTTATTTTTATATTGGCTCTGATGCATTGAATCATACTGAGCAGTACACAGAAGCTGCAGGTGAGCGGAAGTGAAAAGGGCTAGAGGTTTGTATTTGGAACCTTTGTGCCTTGTAGTGACTGCTTCCTGAATTTTCACTACAGCAGATCTAGAAATTATTTAAAGTTACAGAGGATTAAAGCTTTCACATGCTTCTGTGGTATTCAGAGGTACTGTGTAGTAAATGTATAAAAATGTAAGTACTAGATCTGAAAGTGGCTACATGTGAAATGGAGTTGCTTTCTTCAAGCATGGTGGGATCTGAGCTGAATATGGACATTTAGCTAACTGTAGAGTTGCAGAAAAGAGCTGACAAAATGTAGAATGTGTGTGTGTGTGTGTGTGTGTGTTTAAAGCTGAATGTATGTGGGAAGGATGACCTCTCCTTGTGCTAAAAGCCTGACTTAGTATGCCATGTAGGCAGAAGAAATTAGAGGGATTATCCCTAACAGCGTATTCAGAAGAGCTTCTAAACATGAACCGAAAGGTGAAAGTAATTTTTACTCCTTAAAGCACGATACTCGGGAAATGTAACATAGTATAAAAGGCTGCATTTTCTAAAAAGGAAAATGTGAACACTCACTTCTCTGATTTCAGTCTTATTTATGTCAGTAGCAGAAAGTTGAGTACTTACATGTGAAAACTTGTTTTGAGGCATCAGAAAATAGACATACTTCATGCAAGTAGATTTTTAAGAAACTGTTCTTGCAATTGAAACTTGAAGATCTTATAGAATATGCCTTATGCTAGTGGTTTGTGTCTAATAGTAGTAGTTTAACCTGAAATTTCTCTTACTTTTCTGCAGGGTCACAGAATGCTCAGTTCTATGCTTTGCGCACAGCAAAAGCTTTGGCAATGACAGCACTGGATGTCATTTTCAAGCCAGGTCTTCTAGAAGAAGTCAGGGAAGACTTTAGACAGGTGAAGCTAAAAGAAGAGGGGCAAATAAACCCAGCAGAACCTATCAAAGAATCTGGAGTTGGCACAGGAGCGTGTGCATCCCATTAAACTTTATTCAGCTTCTCTCAGTAGGGCTGACTTCATGGAGATGATGTATTTAAATCCTGGAAGGGGCTGGATAAACCCATAGCTGAAGAAATGTTCAATTTTGGGGGGAACTTTAGGAAAGGCAAACAGTATCATTGCTTTCAAAAGTGTGCAATTTCATCTATCTGTAATGTTTGCTGTATTCAATATGGTGATGAACTCTGGAAACAAATACATCATCTTTAAGCTGCAGTGTTGAAAAAATAAGTGTTTAGTTCCCTGTCAGTGATTTTCTATGTATTGCTAAAGTAACATTCTTTATAGGGGAAATACAACATCTACCTGGAAATGCTGGTTCTAAAATGAGCTCTGTTCACTTGGCGATCAAAGGCTGAATCAGATCTATGAAGTATTTCTGTCTGGCCAGTCACTTTTTCTTGGGACAAGATAGAGGCTTAAAACCTCAGCTGATTTCACTGGAAAGAAGGGCGTATGTTTGGAAGAATGCCTGATTTTGACAATAGTAACCGCTAGCAATGGAGCAGAACCATTTGTATGGAAATGGCATCTTTAAAGTCTGAGTGTCCTGAAATGCATTGACTTGCCTCCTAACAGTTTTGGAGGTGATATGGAGAAGTCATTGATCAACAAATTGGAAAGCAACTGAATGTTTATTTATTTAAATTAACATGTTTAAACCACTGCAGAGAAATGCATGTGGTCCTTTTTTTAAGTTGTACTCTAAGGCAGTACCAGTGTGTAGATGAGGTGTTCACTAGCCTAGCTGATCTGAAGGATCTCTGTAAATCTAGCCAACACAGTGGGAATCTTTCTCACAAAGTTGCAAGCCTGGTACTGTGAAGCAGTAAATGAAGCTAACCTTAAACTGGTGTGTGCAAACCAGTAAGCTCTTGAGAAGTTTGCACTGGGGATTGCTTGTGCAGTACCTGGCTTCTCCCTGGCTTCTCAAACCTGTTTGTTCCCATATCCTGTAAGATAAGTAGATGTGTTAAGTCTTGCCAGTTGTCCTTCCCGTGTGTTAATCTGTTTAAGCCTTGTTATTTTGCTTCCCAGAAACACTAATATTGCAGATTTTACCTAGGTTGGTGGTGTGTGTGTCCAAACATGTTAGGAATTTTTTTTCTAATTCAGTTTTTAAAGGATCACTTGAGTATGTAGAGAAGGAACTAATCTTTTGTTCAGATACAAATAGCTGAGTCAGTGGACAGAGTGAAAAAGCAGCTTACTGGCTAACGTTTTTCTAAGCATAAGTGTTATAGTAAGCTTCTGATAAGTAGTCAAGCAAACTGTATTCCCCAGGAAGTTGAATTTTTATCAGAACCAGTCTCTAAATGGTAAACTCCAGAATTCTAATAGAATTTCTAATAAGAATTTATATTCTATTAATTTCTACATTCAGTTTCTAATTCTGGAAAGAAACAGATTCCTTAGCTTAACTGTGCACTCCCTCTGCATTTTTGCACACTTTTTAACACAGACTGCTGTTTATGAATTCTTTTGAGACTTTCCTTTCTTAGAGGGATGACTGTATGTATGACTATACAGCCTCTATATATTGCGTAGACAACAACTTGACAGTTTTTAGACTTTCTGATACTTCAGTCTCTGTGCTTGTAGTAATAGGACACAGACTGTTAAATATATTAACTGCTCAGTGTCATTTGAAAAAGTAACTGATCCTCTAGGAAGTAGAGGCAGTTAAAGGGGTTTGTTTGGTATTACAAGCCAGTTAGTTGAAGAGCATGACTGTAAGTACTCCAGGTTCCAAGAGGGTCTGTCCTTACACCAGTGTCCTTGCTTTCAGTAGTAAGCAGTTTTGACAGAGGAATACATGAAACAGGTGAGGGTTGGACTCTGAGTTGTAGGTGTGTCCAGGATTGTAAGTTGGATACTAAATCCAACTGAAATTGGTCCAAGGTTTGTCAAAGGAAATTTCTCTGCAATTTTTAAATTAAATTCTGCCAGTTCTCAGACACAGTTACAATTCATTAAGTTCTGTTGGGTTAACAAGGTGGTTTATGAATTTCCTTAGCATAAGTGTATTTTCATTTCCTCCTGCATGAGCTGCTTACCTTCTTGCTTTGCTGTTTTTAAGGTGCAGTGTTGGGATCTTAGTGATTGCGATACATGCTGCATTGTTGTTTCCTACTGGCTGATGCATCCTTTTCAGGTCTCTTTGTCCAGACTATCTGGCTGTTGGCTGCATCATGCCCAAGATCATTTAATTACGCATTTCTGAATTAAAATCATGTCCTCATTTTATTGTAATTGTTGCTGGAATTAAAATGAAACTGAAGTGCTGATTAAAGATGAGTTGATATCAATAAAGCAGTTTAATTGCGACTGAATTTTCTTGTCTTTTGATTAATATTGGGATGCTGCATGACTTCATTTGAATAGCGTATTTGATTCCTCCCCCAGTTTGGTATGATTATGTAAGAATGAGGATGTGTAAGCTTTCCATTTTGGTCTGCCTAGTGAGCAGGGTTTTTTGTGAGTGTTACTACTCTTCAAGTACAATATTTAATGGTAGTCTATATAGTTGTAGGGCTGTTTTAAAACATGTTAGAATCCATTGAACAATAGGAATGGTGCTTGGGAGGGATCTCTGGAGAATCTCTGTGAGGCTAAACCTTGTCTAGCCTCCAGCTTGAAGTGGAGTTGTTGCCAGCACTAGGTAAGGTGAGCTTGTCTTCATTTGCTGAATTCTGGAAGCCTTCAAGGGTAGAGACTTTGGACTTCCTCAGGCAAGTTAGTTCTGATTTGTGCCTCAGAACACTCGTTCTTTAGGTCTAGAACTAAAGCAGTTTGGGATTTAATGTTAGGATTTTACTATAACAATGATACTATATATGAGAGAAACTTACTTTCCGTGGGAATAAAATTGGTAATTTGTGCTCATAAATCTATGAAAATATCAGGCATGGTTTTTAAGTTACCCTAGCTGCAGTCGTCCCCAAGCTGCCTGTAACTTAAGAATATTGGAATATATGTCAAGAATAGTACTTCTAGCAATGAATCAAAATGTGTAGGTAATAAACTGTACTTGCCAAAATGATTTTGAACAGCTGAATGTGAGTCACGGAAGGATGAGGTGATTATGTCCAGACTTTGTGAAGAACTTAAAGCCTCTGCCCTATCAACTGCAGTGCTTCCTTATTTAATGTCTTTCCTAAAACTTGAGTAAAAGATAGGTGTGGCTTAAAAAGTAAACCATGAAATGCGATGGATTACTTTTCATGAGAAGATTTGAAGGAGAGAAGTTGTAACCTGCTGAGTTGAGCAATGTGGTGTAGAAAGGTCCAGCAGCCTTTCTTCAAACAGTAAATGGGAAGCTGCTACATGTTCTTGTGGATCATACTTCTGTAATCATTTTGTTGCCATTAAGTACTTGGACCTGATTACATTTCTTCACAGGAGCACAGTCTTGCTTGTGACTGCAGAGCCATAACACATTAGCTGTCAAAGTGAATCTTTGTCTTGTATTCACTGAGTGATCTTACAACTTGCTAACAGCTTTCTTTAAAACAGGCTTTTATTTACAACAAAGTGTTTAAGGTTAAAATAAAAAGTCTACATGATTTCCTGTTTTTTCCCTAAAGATTGCTATTTCCTGGTCCTCAAAGTAACAGGCATCCACAGGGCCTTTGTCCACCAGTCTGTCTGGTTGACTCTTGCTGACACCCACATCTTTTTGTCAGGGAGCAAAGGTGCATACCTCTGAAGACTTATTACCCAAAATCTCTGCTAAGGAAACATTGGCATGATTGCTGCAGTTTTAGAGTCCTTTAAGCCTTAATGGAAGTTTCTGACAAACGCATCAAGGAGTTTACTCAGCCACACGTGCATTTGGAAGTCCTTATTTAAAAATACAGTGAGAAGCCAAATGCCTCAGAATTAGGAAAGGCTGAAGTCCACATGGCTGTGGATAGTCTTAACAGCTGTTTATGCAGCATTATCACATATGATTGTGCTGGTGTACTTACACAAAGTTACCTTTTCAGCTGTTTGGTCTCGAAGGTAATGGGCAAATGTAATCACAGCCCATTTCCTCTTAGCTTCTCAAGACCATATTGAAGGATGAAAACACACAAATGTAATTGACGTTCATCAGAATTACAGTGCTGGAGCCTTGTTCATAACTATTTAATAAGCACTAAAAAGTCATCAGGAGTTGTAATTTCCCTTGGTTTTCTTGTTTTATATATATACTTTTGTTTTACATATATACTTTTGGTTCTTGGAGGCTGAAACACGCTTCACACCTCATGGACTCTCACGGAGATCATTCTTTTGAAGACAGAAAATAAACAGTGCTGTACAAATGTAAAGTTTTATTGTGATTTTGAGTGTTTCTAGAAATAAACCCAAACAAATAACTGATTTCTTGTGGCTGGGCAAAGGAGCAGAGTGTTAATGATTGGGTATGAAACTCGTGCGCTGAAAGGCTAGACGACAGAAAGTGGTGTATGTAAATATGTTTAATGAGTACACTTGTTGATAGCAAACACTGCCTGTATATGACATATCCTGTACTTATAGAATACATCTATATACACATTTACATAAGACTGAAAAGGCACTAGAGTTTCCCAAAATAAAATACAAGTAAATTAACAATGTAAATCCAAACATGGTGGTTGGGGAATCTGTTCAGGTTGGTGGGCTCGAAGGGAAACTGAAAATCACTTGGGAAGTTAGGAACCAGTCTCTCACTGAAAGCCAGGGAGTTCAGCATGCTAGTTCCCATTTTAATCTTCAGAATCTCCCTTATACGCATACTACTCAGATGCCAAATAACATGTAGCATGAGATTAAGGAGTCTAGAAAGGAATGTACAGTACTGCAGCAAACTACATAGCATTAAGCTTCTTATGGAGCTGGAGAGCTTACTACAAGATCTGGCACTCCTGTTTGTGCTCTTCTTAAATCGTAGGAATAAATGGGTTTTCACAGTACTGCGAATCTAAATACATTCCTGTGCAAGTAGCGCCCAAGGAGTCTCACAGCTTTTTGAGGGAAAAGGTGCCATTATAGCAAAGAATAAGGTAAGGTGGCCAGCCTCTCCTCTGCTTTTGCCAGAGTGCAGAAATCTTTATGGTTTAATAAAATAGACTTTAATTTCTTGAAAAAGTCTACTGAAGAGTCATATGATATGGAGGAAACTTGATAAAGTGAAACCAAGTATGTGTATGTGGGGAAAAAAAAGCAGCTATGTAGAAATGAGTACTAAAAGTATCTCATGGATGGGTGTGTTTTAATGGCTTTTAGCTTTTGTGATTTCATCGCATCACCTATGGAGTGTAGCCTGTAAGGGCAAGATGAGCATAGCTTGTTTTGCACATCATGATTTTAGCAGTTGTAAGAAAGGCTGCATATGTTTACATGATGCTTATTTACATAGGGAATTAAATCAATAGCCAGCAGTGATCAAATAGCTGCAAGGTCTGTGTCACGAGCCTGATGGTAGAGTGGCTGATTAGTCAGGCCAGGGCAGGTCTCATGTCAGAAGATTCACTTTCATTTTAGAGACAACTGCTTTGGTCTGATTCTCAGAGCAGCTACATCTGTAAGAGACAACAGCAGCTGCTGTGCAGGGAGTAAAGAACTTGGTAATTGCATGCAAAATTGTGTATGCGTTTAAAGTCCTGTTCACCCAAGCCCTCTGTTAGCTTTGTGGATGTAGTTGTACAGCACGTGGCAGCAGACATGCTATACGCTACGCTTTCTGAGACACCTTTGGTGCTCCTCCTATTGTAAAGGCCCCTGATTCCATTCAACTGATTCTTGTCTTCCTGAGCTATTTTATTACTTCTGCATTGCAGATTTTGCCTCTTCCATACGGAATATTTCTACTGACTGGCTGCTCTGCAGAAACCGTGATGGAGAGCTAGGACTTGAGTCAATGCCAAGTGCCCTCAGCTCCAGCTGTGTCTCTTTGCTCCTGCCCTGGAAAATGCTGGGCCTGCTTTAAGGTCACAGAGGGATGCAGGGTGCCAGGGAGACGGATGTAGGGTGCCAGGGAGACAGATGCAGCATGAAAGCAGAGTCCTCAGTTAGTTGTACCTGGGTCTGCAGTGGAGCTGCTACCTCGTGGTGGAAGTTCTTTTTTACTTCACTCTGAAGTTTTTGGCATGGTATCTCTAGTAACTCAAATATAAGGCCCTTACTACTGCTTTGTCACCTGTTAAGCACCTTTCTATTATGCTTTTACTAAAACCCAGATGAACTAGGCTTTTCCTGGAAGCAGATACAACTACTGGTGGCTTTACAGGCTGCAACAGGTTCTCAGGCTGTACAGACCAGTAATGCCCAGACTATCTCAGAGAAAATGGGCTTCTCACAGAGTAGTTTTGCTCTTTGTAGACACTTGGTTGTCTTCACTGGGTCATTTTGTACAGAGACCTGTTTCTTTTCCCAGGAAACCCAAGGAGAAAACTCCCACTGACTCAAATAAGCAGATCCAAGGAGAGCTCCTGTGTTTCCAAAGGATTTGATTAGCGCTGTTCCTTAGTGAATGTACATTGCAAGTCATACTTTAAAAAGATAGTCAAAATAGCTTGGCGAGATTTCTTTCTTTTAGATACGATCAGGACAAAGTACAACTCTGAAAGTATTCCTGTGTGGACTTGCCAGCGCAGTACTGTGAGGGCAGCATGCATTAAGCAGTGAAAGCAAGCTGTAGCTAGCAATAACATTGTCAAAGTGTTTTCCAGTACTGGATGTTTTGTGTATGTAATGGCCGTTTCTGACCTCATCCTGCAAGCATGCAAGTATTTGCATATTCTTGCTTTTACTGTTATTGAATGTGTAGAATTCTGCTGAGTTGAAAGATGCATGCACATGCTCGGGTACTTAAAGAATTAGGATCTCAGGGGCACTAAATGGAGGATGCACTATATATAAGCAACTAGCACTTATAGTCACTTAATTATTAAAATAGTTTACAGTGGCCTATGAGGCACAAGAAAGAACGTAGCACAGCTTTAAGTAAGTATAAAACTTCCGATCATATCACCTCTATTTTGCTGAAATGCACAACAACTCGCACAATTATTCATGCCACAAGTGAGTTTTATCTGTTAGCCTATGAGACTGTACTTTCATTGAATGTCACAATGCTCTGTGACTACAGGAGTTAAGTATGTTTATGAAAAAATGGACCAGTATATCAAGTTAAATAGGATGTATGCACCAGGGAATATTATCCTGGAGTACTTGTCAATGGCATGAGTGTCGATCCTCATGCTGACGTATCTCTGGTTTTTCCTCCTGCCCGAACCCCTCTCAGACCCCAGCGCCAGCTGCACCATCATTCGGTCTTGTTTGTCCCCGTTCTCAGACATGTAGTGCCCCAGTTCATTCACATCCCCGTCGTTGTAACTGCCATCCACCATCATGGGCCGGGGCTGAGGTAGGCTGCATGCACAGGGAAGCTGTGGACACAAGTGTGGGATGGATTTTAGTAGAGTCCAGCTATACACAGATATCCCTTTTCTCCTTACAGAAACAGAGGAGAGAAGCCTGAGGAATTCAGGCTGCTGGGACACAAAAGGGAGAGCTAGAGGATCAGCAGCTTTTTCCTTCTCCATTTTTGTGCCTGCAAGACAGTGTAGTCAGGGAGAGAGTGGGGCTGGCTGTGGAAAAGCTCATTCGGCTTCAGCCCAGCTATCAGGGTGTAAATAACTGCTGGACCTGTACCTTGAAGCTAAGAAAATCAGAGAGCAGGGGGAAACCACAAGGAGGAATGTGTAAGGCCTGCCCCATTTGAAGAGAAGAGGCTGAAATTTTACTTGGTTATAATTAAATGTAACAAAAGCAGGAGGGAAAAATTTGGACCATTGTGTAGGTTCAGACTGTGCCTGGAGAAAAGTTATATAAAGCACAAAATGCAGTATCCCTCTGGTGCTATTCACAGGCTTGGATCCTCAATATAAAAAATACATAAAGGTAAAATCCTAAACCCTATCCCGTTTATACAGGTGGTGGGGGACTATATGTAGAGGGAACCAGCATCCTCAGACTCTGAAGAAAGAGCAGTGAGCTTGGGTATGGTTTGTCTACACCCTGGAATGCCTCATTGCTGGTGTCTTTTTGCTGCATTCTCCCCAGGCAGCTGGGAGCAGCACACTGTAGTTGCAAGGTTTTGAACTTTGCCAGGCATTTGCCATGTCTTTTCCCAGGGGCATAAGGCTTCATTAGAGATAAAAAACCTCACCTTGTCCCGCAGTTTCCTCTCCTTCCGCTCCTGCACCGTAGTCAGGTAATTCACAGCCGCGTATTCCAGCACCGAGAGGAAGACAAACACAAAACTGACCCACAGGTAAATGTCCACTGCTTTGATGTAGGAAACACGAGGCATGGAGGCATTCACCCCAGTGATGATCGTGGACATGGTCAGCACAGTGGTTATCCCTGGGAATACGCCAGCAGAGAGACCATAAGACTCTGTCAAGCCAGACTCTTTATCACAAATAGAGCTGCTGTTACAATCTCCTGACATCGGAATTCACCTTTCAGTATTGCTTTTCACATCCAGGTGGTGGGTGTCACTGCCCGGGAGGGTCCAGGCAGCCCTGATTTCTAACTTGGGTTTTCTTGCATTTTTGGTGAAAACAGCTTTAGTTCTGGTCTCATGGTGTAGCCAGCCTGGTTCCTCACCACACCACCAGCCTCCTACCCCATGGCCAGGCAGTAGTGCTTTGACCACATGCTGGCTACACCCCATCTCCAGGCTCAGGACAGTCTGTCCCTGGAGGGGTACAAGTACATTGAGTTGGACTCAGTGCCCCTTATGGGTCCCTTCCAACTCGAGACATTGACTCTATGATCCTGAGTATCTCCTAGTTCAGCCCTTCCGCAGCATGGACACGCATGAAGCCCATCTGCTGCTGCTACTGCTTCCACCCGTTTCCACAGGCCTGTTTTCCATCTGCTCCTAGGAAGTCCTGCTTTGTGGGAAGTCACCCTGGTCTGTGCCTTCCCTGGAGCAAGAGCAGAGACTAATGGGGTCCCGCAGGTGTAACATTGCCCCATGTTACACCATGGGTGAGCACAACAAGCACATCGGCAAAGGCAAGAACCCCTGTAGTTCAGTGTTATCCTGGCTCTGAGGGAGGCTTTCTGTGGTCCTCTTATTTCAGGGGCTAATTATGTCACATTTATGATCCCTTTGAAAGTTGAAATGATGTATATAAGCATAAAGGACTGAATTCACAGGAGTATCTGTGTGCTAAAGAGTGCTGCTAAAGGCAGTGCCTATATGTTCCAAAAAGCCATAACCAAAACCCTTATGCTGCTTTTAATAAGGTCTCAAGACAATGGATGCTGTTTCTAAACACAGACATGGATAACTGCCCCATTTGCCATCCCTATTATGCCTCTGTATATCCCCTCCACTGAGGAATATGATTTTAACAATAAATAAAATCCTGAGGAGTGTGTTGCCTGGAGTAAGCAGAAACAAGCTTGGGTCTCAAAGTCTGGTAAACATAAACAGCATTTTGCTAAGGGCAAGGCACCTGCTTTGGAAGATTTATAACCGTATCGTAGTTCTGCTCCCATGGTGACTCCTCTGACATATGGCTTCATCTGTCTGAAAGATGTTGCGAAATGGAAAGCTGAATCCCTCACACTGCACTGTGCAAGCAGGGAAGGTAATTGCTTGGTACTGCAGGACAGATGGAGCGTTTGTACCAGGGCCAGGCCCCTGCATGGGGGCCACACGTGTGGCATAGCTGATTTCTGTGCCACAGGGCAATGGGGCAGTGCTTAGCACAGGGGACTTCATCTTGATGGTCAAGGCTGCAGCTGCAGCAATTGTCTCTTAGGTCTGCTGACTGCAAGGTTGGTTTTTACCTAATGGGACTCTGGCAGGAACTGCTCGTCGGTCGATCCAGAAGGACACCCAGGACAACATGACCATGAGGGTGGCAGGGAAGTAGGTTTGGAGCAAGAAGAAGAAGATGTGTCGGCGTAAAGTGAAGTTTATATAGAGGCGATTGTACCACCCTGTATAACAGAGAGAAGGAAAAAGAGAAGTCACACCTATACCGAAGTACTTTCAGGTAAGGTCATGTTGCATTAGGGGAAAAATGCCTCATTTGCTTTTAGAAAAACACTGTTAATGACCACAGATAATTGCAGTTTGCAGAAAGGGCTCCTTATGGAACCAGCTATAAAAGTCAAGGCATCTTTCAGGACCATAACTTCCAGAGAAGACAATATAACCTGTGCACTTGAAGAGTTTAATTCTTGTTAAGGCTTGGGGTGATCTTGAAGAAGGATTGTCTTTCCAGACTGTACAACTGCCAAGATAGAAGTCTGTGGCAGGGACAGCAGCTTCAGCGTAGAAAAGAGGCAGATCTCATGGGCCACAGAAAGGCCTCTCAATGGATAACCCTTCATGGCCAAGGTCTGAAGGGACAGCTTGCACCCCTTTTTCCCCTAGCCCACTCTCTATCAGACACACTCTGGTTCTCACCTGTGCTGCTGTAAAAGGCAAGCTTTGTGGTGGTGTGAAACTCCTGGATCAGGAACTGGGACAGCGATATCCTCTCATCTGTTTTTAGGGAATCGTTTCCATTCTTCCAGTAGAGCATAAGGTCATCTTCAGTGTAGGCATCTAGGGCAGCAAAGCGAACCTGGCAGTGCCACTGCACTGAGGTGTCACACCCACAGCCCAGCGTGTCCCCACACACCTTTCAGGCTACCTGCGGGGTCCCGGCTGAAAGGGCCAAACGCCACCGCCTAGCTGAGAGCCGTGCCGAGGGTGGGTATGTCTGCGGCAAGGAGAGGGAGTGCTCCTTGTCACAGCCCTCAGGCCTGACCCCTGGTACGTCATCGGTTCACGCACATAATATGTATGTTGGGTAACCCGCCACATCAGAACTTCAAAAATTGTCCCTTCTAAACGTCCTAAAATCGGGAGCAAAGGAAGGAGCCTCAGAGGAAAGGGCCTGCTTAGGGTAACAGGAGAAACAATCTACTGATGGTCTGAGGCATGCAGGAGGGAGAATAGTAATGTGGAAATATAGTAATGTTAATCCCTTCGGATGGGTTTAGTGGCAGCTCTTCCCAGACAGGGAAAAAAAGTCACACATAAATGCTTTAAAGCAGAATTGATTATAATTTCTTACTGCAATCTTATGAAGGAGAAGGTAAAACCCCCTAAGAAGGGAGAAGTTTAAAACGTTTATGATTGCAATCTAGCTAATTCATATGTACATCATACCTGGGACAAAGGAGCTACGTGTGGGTATAAGCTGCATTTGTCTCGAAAAGGTGTAAGAAATGTAGGAGGAAGGTGACTAATGTCAGTGCCCCATCATGGTTGCTACACCACAGATGAACAGACGGTCCACAACAAGGGTGTAGGGCCATTTATTTGTGTATTTGAGGGCACATGGGCGAGCAGATGCAGCTGGAGACTGCTGATGTGCAGGGAAGTGGCCCTGGGCTTGGGGTGGCAGTGGGGCAGCCTGGTTCAGGGACACTGGCAAGACAGTGCTCATAGCTGTTTTTTCAGAGCAATGCGTTGTTGTTGCAATTCCAGTGAAAAAATAGGGGCAGGGAATTTCTCTTAGTGAGAGCCTCCATGCATGTAGCAACAATTCAATTATTGATATAATTATTGATATAATGAAATACAGTTTGGGTGCCCCTGAGGTGCAGCCCTTGGCTCCCCTTCGCTTTACTTACAGCTTTCAATCTCCAGGGAACATGTCTGTGTGTCCAGTGGGAAGCGACTAAAATCCATGTTGCACATTGCCGTTACCGTAACTCTAGGGATAATAAAACCCACTCCATTAAAAACTTGTCTTCTTATGTGACTGTAAAATAATAAAGCTGTGTGTTTGGGTTTTTTATTAAGTAACTATCTGGCCAGTAACAGTCCGTTGGAAACAAGCACCTTCCACTCAGACAGAGCCATTCCAATTTAGTTAAAGCCATTTTTTCCTCTAAGCAAACCAGTGTTAGAAGAGGTGACTAGAAAGTTAGGCCATGACAAATTGCTACTAGATGACAAAAATACTGGAGGAGAAAATGGGAAAGGGCAGAGAGGGACCTTCTTCCTCTTTGACTATCAGCCAATATCTCTCTGCAGAGATTTGTGCCTTCGGGGGATGTTATGGTATTGTATGGTAAAATAATGTCATTTTTTTCAAAGCCATCCTAGCGGCATGAGGGATGCAGGTAGGATTTTTTATTCTGCACTCTGATTTTCCAGCAGCTAAATGAGAATCCAGTGACCACACATGGGTATCAACCACCAGAGGGCACCGGCAATGATGGAGCTGGTATGCTACAAAGACCATTGAAATGCCCTTCCCCATCAATCAAAAGCTCTGGTCATGCTATAGTCTCATTATCTCATTTTTAACAGCATGATTTTGTGTTTGCACTGGAAACATCCATAAATCTTGACTCAACTGTCTTTATGAAAGTAAATGAAGATAGACATGTAAGTCATAATGGAGAAAGAATTAATGAATTATAGCAGTGCTAATGGTAGACAGACATCTGTCACATAGTGATAAAAACACAGTGCAGTCCCTTATGTTAGTAGTCCTTCTGCAAGTGTGGGCTCTTACTGATGTTGCTTTCCTATCTAGATTTAGTCTTTGAGTGCAAGTGCTTGGCTCAGACTTGTTGTTTAGGTGCCAGTGAGGTCTACAGTGGTTTTCAAGACAAGAGGAGGCAAAGTCTGGCGAAGAACCTTAAAAAGGCAGACATCAAGGAAAAATACAATGTACAGGCAAAGGCATTCAGCAAAGGCAGGCAGGCAGCAATGACCCGTTTGCTCCTAAGGGGAGACCAGCATTCATACTTCCCCAGTGTTCATGAAGCACTCCAACCTACAGTCGCCACCGAATGAAATAATTAAGCTCTGTCAATTTGCTATTCAAGACATTCACCACCATTTTATAAAGGACAAATGTTTAAGCACAAGACTGTGCATGGCAGGATCTAGGTAGTTTGATCTTCAATTCCCATCTTCTTTAGACACCATAAAGGCTTGCTGCGCAGGTGATTGGTATCATGCAGCAATATGACATTATATTGTCTTTTTTTCTTATTGTGCTAAGGACCTGAGCAAACTTTGCAAAGGACTAAGGAATACCTGAACCTTGTCTAATGCGCTGAGTGAAGAAATAGCTTTAATAAGGAGAAGGTAGACATTCTTCAGACTTTGAATTCCAATGTACAGGAATATAAAAATGTCATAGAACAAGAAAATTCTTGTCAAACTGATACCCCAAAGGGATCAAGACTTTATTTGCTTCCCTTTCTTTCATAAAATCATAAAACACCTCAGCAGGCTGGGAAGATGAATTTCTCACTTGATGGCAGGCTCAGCTCTACCTCTGCCACTCCTAAGGTTGCTGTATAGAATGCACTTAAAGGTCTTCACAGCTTCTGCAACCCTATCATTAGTTAAACCTATGTATGCATTTTGCTGATGCTGACCTCCTAGCAGTCAGATTTTCATTCTCTTTTGTCCTTCAGAATACGTTATCTGTCATCTGATACTTTGCTTATTTAGGATGTGTTTTACTATTTCATTGCTATGGAGGCTGTTGACATTCTTGCATCCGAATATTGTACAGCAGTTTCCTCTTTAATAGGTTCTTACGGGTCATTTGGCAAGACTTGTTTTCTAACTGAGTGGAGCTGCAGCCAAGGAAAACTAAAGCGCTGATTTTAGTTTCTTTTGGAGACTGACAGATGCTCCCCATCTAGTATAAAGGTATGAAAGCTCTCCAAGTATGAAAGTGTTAGTTATCAGAAAGAAAAAAATCCTGCTTTAATAATGTTCAGACTTAGACCAGCAATGTTTCTCCCAAAGCTGATCAACCAGTTGGAAAATAAGGGAGAAAGCCAGGATTGGGATCACCCCTCAAGCTAGAAGACAAAACAGTTTACCCAAAATGTCCCTTCAAGGAGCTTTTATGCATTTCACATGAAACTGAGCAAAAAGCAGGAAAAGCCAAAGTCAAGGGTTTGGTTTGCTTTAACCGTACATGTGAGTCACCCAGAGCCATATACCCTTGCTCTGAAGCTTGTCACTTCAGATGTTGAAAGATGTTCTACGTGGTTTGTTGCTTATCATAAAGCTCAAGTTGTGCTTGGTATAATTTATGTTTCTTCATAATTACCTATTAGAATAGAAATTGCACATTTTGCTAGGCCCAGGGACTTTGTTGTACAGTGGATAACTGTAGCTGCATTGGACTTCTGTTTATTACCAGAAACTGCTCTCTTCCTTGCATGGTGCCTTGGCTCTTCATCAGTGTGCCCCACAGCTCACTGGTCCCCAGCGAGATGCCCCAAGGGGACTATGACATCTGGCTACAGCTTTCTGACAGCAGGAGCACTGGATAACAACGCACACAAGGCAAAAGCACACTGGTGGAAGCAGTGACATTAGCATAGAGATTGACTTCCTGCGACAAGCACTTAATGAACTTGCACAGGGACTCAGATGTCAGTGGATAGTCAGCACATTCATTCTTTGTTAGGCTTTTTTTTTTCAGTATGAAGTCATGCAAAAGCACTATACAGGAATCAATTAAACCATTTTCTCTCTCACTCCACAAATAACTCCCGTTGACTGAATGCAGCTTTACCTGAGGCTGTAAAGTACCTTCCCATCTGGCTGGACTCGCAGCATGACATTGTCTGTGGTGGTGTCGTGGATGAAAGAACGCTTGGAGTGGACAAAGAACATGTCAGGGACCCAGATTTTCTTCACCAGCCTGCCATCAAAGGTCATGCTTTGGTTGTTGGTGCTGGGGAAGGACAGTCTCTCATCTTTCCAGTAGTGCCTTAGGTAAAGCGTCATGGTGAAGTCCTGCAACAAACAGGCTTGTGTTACAGCATACGCCTTATTGGCATAGCAGTGATTTCTCCTCTCTATTCCTGAAGGAACATCCACCCCCTGAGCTGCAGGGGACATGACTGGCTGCAGCTTATTTATTCCCCAGGTCAGACTGACTTACTGGATTCAGAAATCAGAGGCCATGCAGGCAGTGAATGCACCTCTGAAATGCAAATACTGCGTTTTGATGTCTGCAGCCACTCCAGGGATGAAAAGGCAGACATGCTGAGGCAGCGGTAGGTGGAGAGTGCCACCAACCACTTAATCCCACAGTCCTATATGGTGCTGCATTTCTGGACCCACCTGTGAAGAAGCATTTGCTGCCTGCATTGCCCTTCATGCTGCTCCGGCAACTGCCACCCCCCAGGCAGCTGAAAGAGCATGTTGCAGTGAGAGCTCTTCCTCCAGCACAGCCACCGAATTCTTTTTTACTCAGTATTTGACGAAAATAGGTTTTTCTGCTGTTTCTCCCCACACACTGTACTCTTAGACCAGAGGCATGCTCCTTCTCTTTGAGCTCTGTTGTATTTGGAATCAGACCCCAGAGGTACATAAATTGGGTTTGCCTTATTTCTTATTTCAAAGGGAGATCTCACATATCTGAAGATAACCTCACATACAAGTGTTTATAGGCACAATATCTTTGTGTGTATCTTAATATATTGCCCATAAACTGAGGGAAGTGTCTAAGGCTCATAAGTCAGCCCTGATGTCTGAGGTAGAAGTCAGATAAGTTTGGGGTGCTGGGTTTTTTTTTGAATTACTTGACAATTGAACTTTTTCTCCATAGCACTTTTCAAGCATTTTGAAATATGGGGGGTTCTGCAGTCTTTTTTCAGCATAAGTGGTTTGTTACTTGCATTCTGTGCTATTATTATACTAGAGGCCAATATAATTCTTGGGAATGCTTCATAAAAGAAAAAAAAAGATAAACCCCATGGATTGAGCAGGTAAATAATGAAAATAGAGTAAAATTTAATAATAATTAAAAAAGAAAAAAGAGAAAGGACTAAAACTCCAGAAACACCAGTGATGCACAATACAATTGCTCACCACCCACTGACTGGTACCCAGCCTGACCTGAGCAGAGATCTGCCCTTCTGGGTAACTGCCCCCAGTTTCTATACTGGGCGTGACGTGCTGTGGTATGGAATACCCCTTTGGCTAGTTTGGGTCAGGTGTCCTGTCTCTGCTTCCTCCAAGCTTCCTGTGCCCCTCCTCACTGGCAGAGCAGGAGATTGAAAAATCCTTGATCAAAGCATTAGTGAGGAACAACTGAAACATGGGTGTGCTACCAGCATTGTTCTCAGACTAAAGCCAAAACACAGCACTGCATCAGATACTAGGAAGAAAATTAACTCTATCCCAGCCAAAACCAGGACACAGAATCTCTGGCCTATGATAGATATTTATAAGTTTTCAAATTAATTGGGGAAAAAAAAAATCTGATTTCTAACGTCCTAATGAAATTTCATAATGTCCATTATTATTTTACCACTGTCTTACAAATAGTCAGAAAGTAAGAGAAAAAGAAGGAAACACTGATATATGTAACTCCTCGAGCTTTAATTTAGTGCAGACTGAATATCTCTGTCACTGCTGTCTCTTCTTTAAAAAACAAGCAATGGTCTTGCAAACCACTATGGCCTTTTTCTATAAAGCTGCACAAGTTAAAATGAATTGATTCTGACAATATAAAGTATTCTCCATCATTGTTTTGTAAATAGCCAGTATTGACCCTGACTGTTTGTTTTACTGGAGGCCATACAGTGTTTTTCCTTGCGTATTACTGGATGTTTGCAGCATGATGTGCAGGGCAGTATTCAAAAACCAAGGGAAGCTGTTCAAACTCCTAATGCTTGCTTAAAAAAATGAGTGTGTTTAATGCTTTATTTTTAATTTTAAATCCTCAGTGTTAAGTTCTTTCTCTTTGCTTTCAAGTTCCAAAGCTTTTCAGGGGCTCTCTGGCCGCATTCACAAGCTTTCTCCTCAACCAGAAGGGCAGGGACCATCCCAGGAGAGGTGACGTCTCGGAGTCCCCATGGCTGACAGTCAGAGTGCCAAGAGCACCGGAGACAGAAGAGCCATCTGGAGGGCTCCCCAGGGCTGGGGGGAATGTGCACCCTTATGTGCCTCAGCATTGCAACCCTGCTGTACCCTGCAAGTCATTGTTTGACTGTAGATACCCAGCTCACTCAAAAGCTGAAATATCTATTCCCTTTCTATGCTCCTGCTCTTCTGCACAGGCTGTTGTTTACATGTCCTGTATGCAGGAGAATCTTCCCATGGAAAATCTCCTGCAGAAAGAACATCTTTCTTTCAGCAGTGTTTGGTGATAAAAAAAAGCCCTTCCAGCAAAAGTCATCAAGACCAAAATCTGCACTCCTTTGAGAGCATTCGAAAACTGACTGGGTTTACATTACTAATTGTATCGTAGGAAACGAAGAGCAGAGACTCAGTACAGAAATTATCCTGTGCAGAGCACCAGTATTAGTCCTGCATGCCCCTGAAATCCTACTTCACTGTTAGTGTGAAGATACTGTATATGAGCTATAGTAAGTGTGGAATTCATAACAAAAACCTAATAACCAACAGAGCCTTATGCTGGTTGCCAGCATGCAGCGGGGGTGATAAAACTGCTAATGTGCCAAAGGGCAAGTTCTGGAGAAACTTCTCCCCTTGGAGAAGCCCTGCCCTTTGAGAGCAGGACTTAACAGTCTGAATGAGTGCTGCTGTCAGGATGGTTCATGACTTCTGGTTGGGAGCTAGCTGGCCCCCAACCACCTCAGGACATGGCTGAAGTGAGCTTGTGTCTGCAATGTATCAAAGTGCTTTAAAACCAGCACATTAATTGGTCTCCTCGGAACTTTTAAACGTGTTATCAGTTTTTAAGAATATGCAGAAACCCACATCTTTTGGGACAGTCTTGGCAGTGTTGCATCATCTTGTCTTAGAGAAGAGAATGTCAGGTTTCTGCCTTCTGCTTAGAGGGAGGTGAAATGGTAGTGTGAGATCAACAGAAGTAATTGTCAGCAGATTCAGATCAAACATGAATCTGCCCCTCAAAGGCTGTGAAGTGTTCATCCTTGGAAGTATTCAAATCCCACAGACACAAACCCAGGAAGCCTGCTGTAGGTGGCCCTGTTCTCAGCAGGGGTTTGGGCTAGGCAGTCTCCAGAAGTCCCATCTGACCTTAGCTCTTCTGTGACTCTTACCATGTCCACCTCAGAAATGCTGTCCAGACTTTCAACTTGGACATCCACCCCAACAGGAATTGCAGGGCCTGGGGGGAAAATTACAAGTTTGCAGAATATAAACCTGATGAGACAAAGTAATCCTCTGGCTTTCATATCTTAGAGATAAAAATAGATGCTCAGTAAGAAATAGAAATGACAGTAAACAAATTGGAAGTAGAAGGGATTGGAATTCAGAATAAAAACCTAATAACAACCAAAATCAGCAATGACATTGACCTATTGCAGGCTTTCTCTTTTTATTGTGTCATCCTGCACGTGTCCTTTAAAAGCTTAAATGCAATTTTCATTGGTTTTAGCTCTAGCTCTTGGCTCCAGGGCTCTCAAGACAGGTGCCCAGCAGAGCATCCTTTTACATGGACAGTATTGGCGCAGCTAAGGGAATGTGGGAGAGTTACTCCAAATTTTTTCCTCACTTCTGCTTCCCTCTCAGGCCAGTAACACCCCTGAGAGCCAGCTACTCTGTGTATTTGACTTTCACATCACCCATTGCTCAGCTGTGGAAAAGACAGGGTGACAGGTGGGGATGTGTTGCAAGACACAAGCATGTGCCACTGAGCCTGGGGCTCCCCAGAGGCCTGACTGCGACTCCATGTAATAGGGATTTTGATCTTTTCTCCCTTCTCCAGGCTTTGACTGGCTCTTGTATACCTCTGGCAATTATACGGCGGGAGCACTGTCAAGACAAATAACGCTCACATTAGCAGACTCCGATGAAACTGAAACCTTTTTAAATTAATTGAACATGCTGGCATTTGGTATATTGAGCATTTAGCAGTAAAATCTTCTTCCATCAGGGTATATAATGGTATCCTGGATTTGAATGACCATCTGTCAGCCAGAAAGGATAGATAAATTACAACATTCTCTAATCTGATGGGCTGAAAGAAAATGTGTTCTCCTTCATCCATTTCCCTGAAAGCTTCGGTTGCTCTACCACACAACCACAAAACTAAGATCCAGCATTAACAGTAAATATATTTGCTTTTGGGTTACGAATGAAACGGCCAGGTCAGTAGACATGGTACATTATTTGATTATGCACACACATCACTGTAGTGAGGTGACATCTTAGAGGGATAAACATAAATCTTAGAGGGATAAACATAAGGTGTATTTGCAGATTTTTATCAAAAGAAAATGTTGCTGAATACCAGGAATATCATATTGTCTGTAATCACATTTCCATGCCTTTGAGCACACTATTTGCTCATCCAAGGAAGAAGGCTATATCACTGCATCCCTCTCCACCTGGGCATGTAATGAAGTCACAACACAAAATAACAAAAATTAGAGATGGAAAATGCTCTGCTTGCCAATCTGCTTGTTCACCTGAGTACGTGCTACAGTATAAAGAAGTGACAGTGTAAAACAGGAACAATGACAATATGCACGTTTCATACCTCCAAACCCGGGTCTCATGCTGAAGTCATGGTCATCTATTCGCAGCAGCTGCTCTGACTTTGTCAGGGGAGATTTGGTGATGTCAGGGCTTCGTTTTAGGATTGGGCTACCAGGAAGAGAGAAGCACAGCTGTGAGCCCTCAGCAGTGCCTGTGAGAAGTATGCACCCGCCTAACTCCATTACCCCTCAGACCATTTACGCCACAGACCATAATCATGCGACTGATTCAGTGGCTGGCAGTGTGTCACTAATAAGTGATCCCTGCACTCACCACACAACTTAGGCACCTGCAGTAATTCTGGCACTGAGAAAATATTTGTTTGGTGACATTTTGTCTCTGTGAGATTATCCCTGCTTATAGCAGTTTGGAGACAATCATTCAAGGTGTGGGCTGGAGGAATAGTGTGTGTGGGTCAGCGGGGAAATATAAACAAGAAGAGGCATTTCTGACATTGAGTTGTGATGCGCCATGAGGCCAGGAGTTAGGGAAACAATATACCAAATAAGCTACTGGCTGTTGCTCAAGAACAAAATGGAGACAGGCTGGGAAGCAGGCCAGGAGGCAGGCCATCCCCTAACTTGGGATAAAATTATTAGCTCCTGCCCCAGATTTCTAATGAGGATAAAATGGAGCATTAAAGAGCCTGGGAGGGTCATTCTAAAAACTGTTGGAGTTGCACCAAATGCTGGGCAGAGGATGTTCTGCTCCTCTTCCACATCCAAGGTGCAAAATGCTGTAAAGCTCCCCCAGTGTTTGGCTGGAGTGGTGGTGGCAGCAGCTTGTTGGTTGCTCCATCATGTAGGGTAAGTCTTGTTGCCCTCAGAACAAGCTGCACGCCACCCACTTGGGCAGCAGGAGGGCTCAGAAACAGGAGGAAAGGTTTTGCTGGTTTTCAGTGTAAGAAAAGATGGCATGGTCACAGAGGCACTTGTCTGAATATACACAAGACAAAACCGAAACAGATCAAATGAAAACAAAGCAACTTGACAGGCAATATGTTCCTGAGATAAAGCTCCTTCTAAATGAGACTGCTTCGCCATGCTGTACTTCTCACAGACTCTTGGGCAGTTGTACCCCAAGAAGCCAATACAACAATTTCCTAACAGAGACTTAAGTGGTGTTATCAATGACTCGTCTCTCAAGCCCAGAGCTTTATCTGGACTATGGAGTATCTTAGACAGATGATCAGTCTCATTTTAATAATTTCTAGGAATGGGAACTCATCTACCTCCGTTAGTGAGCTCTAGTCATCAATATCCCTCAGGCATTTTGAAAGGTGTCCCCTGCTTCTGCTTTAGATTTATCTTTGTCTCTGAAAGACCTGTAGGCATTGTGAGCATGTACTGGGGAAGATTCACACCCTGCTGAGGCACGGAAGAGGTATTAGCAAGTCACTGGCAAAACCTTTGTGAGCAGACTTGACCGTGCTTTTTCCCTGGCAGTGGCAGGGGTGGCACAGTGGTGTGATGGACAACCCGTGAGGGGTGCTCAGCTCTGCAGAAGGGATGCTTGGAGGGAAAGCTGAGCCAGCAGCAGCCACCATAAGGTTTCACCTACCTGCCTTGCTTGTGTCCTTCACCGTGGGCTTCCCGTCGCTGCCGCTGCGGCCGGCTGCATGGAAACAGGAAAAGGGAGCACTGAGACAGACAGTCATGGGTGGGTGGTGTGGGCATCAGGAAGGAAGAGCAGCAGGAAATGCCAGATCCCATGGTGTTACCTTCTGTCACATGTGTGAAACAGCTCTTACCTTTTATTTACCTTTTATTTACCTTTTATTTACCTTTTTGTCAAAGGTCAGTGTCAAATGCATGGCAGAAGGTGTGGAGGGTAGCGGGATACGGGGCTCAGAGCCTGGATAGGGCCAAAGGAGGGGAGTGATGAATTTGGAAGGTGGGACACCACTGGTTTGGATTGCCTGGCAAAGGACCCAGGCAAGCAACTCACCTCCCTCCTTCCAACACCATGGCTGGCACCATGAGGGGCCCTGGAATGAGGACACGCTGCATGGGCCAGGTGGGCTGCCCAGTAGCCTTTGCAGTGGAGAGTACAGAGCTGCATCTACTTAGCAGAGGTGGCTGCGTGTGTTCATGAGAACAAAACCTTTGCAAAGTATTCCGGGGGAAGGGGGGGGGGGGGGGAAGGTAAAGAACTTGTTTCTGGTTTCATACTGTCCCCCAGCTGGATGCTAAAAAAATTCCTCTCAGGTGTTCGGTCAACATTTTACTTTATCATTACAGGAAACAATATTGCTTTTAGCAATGTAAGCGCTAGCTTGAGCAAAAGTAACATTTTAAATATGTAACAGTTTTAATTCATCCTTAATTAAAAGTTGAAAAAAATTAGCTTCTCTCTGTAATTAAAACTAACTCTAATCAACTTTACTAATGAGACTTTCTGCCCATTAATATGCATTTCAAATCCCTCTGAAGATACAGCAGCAAACTCCTTTGATGTCACCACCCGAGCACCATCATCCCTTTGGTGAGCAGTGGCCAAACTGAGGCTACGCAGGATGACTTCTCCCAAGGCTGGGAACTCTATAAAAGCCGATAGCACTGGAGGGAAATTCATCTTCCTGCTGCCACAGAGAAGCAGACAAGCTCCACATCTCCCAGGCTAGCAGGGGGCACACTGGGCTGTACCATTGAAACACCCTGAAGCAAAGTGTTGGCCAACTGGAATGTTTTCTGCTCTTCTTCTGCTTGTGGGAATAAGCCCAAAGACAGAACACATGGCCTTGGGCCATGCAGCAACATTGCTACTGCTTGGAGCAGCTTCTTAGGCACTCTTGGACCTAGGCATCGTGCAGCAAAATGCACTTACAAATGTAAAATGTGCTTTCTGGAATCTTCTGCCTTGTCAATGCGCCCTTGGGCTGCTGCTGACATGTCTCACTGCTGCCTGCTTGTCATTCGCTGGCTGTCGGGAAGTAATTTCATGTGTTTTGGGGATAAGCAGATTCTGGCAACAAGCTGACCGACTTACATGACTTTAAAATGCCCTAGTAAACTCTTGGCTGTTCAGGAATAATGTTGGTATTCAAACAGAGATGAAGCAGGCATGTTCTTGCAATTTCTAATTTTAATTTCTCTTTGTGGAGCTTATCTAATGCTTTATGTTGGCCCTGGCCTTATCCTGCCTGTTGAGGGAGCTTTCAAAGCATAGCCATCAAGGATTTGTGCCTAAATCCTCCCCATCCTCTGCACCCAGGAACCCCAGGTGGCTCCCCTTATTTCTTCCAGGTGCTTCTCCACTGCCTCTAAACTTTATTTTCTTATCACAAACCAGCATAAACAAATCAGGGACTTTGGCAGGCTTGAGAAGTGTACTTGTGCAAACCTCATGACGTGCAGCAAAGCCAAGTGCAAAGCCTTACACATGGGTCAGGGCAATCCCAAGTGCAAATACAGGCCAGGCAGAGAATGGGTTGAGAGCAGCCTTGAGGAGAAGGACTTGGGGGTTTTGATTGACAAGAAGCTCAATATGACTTGGCAATGTGTGCTTGCACTCAGAGAGCCAACCGTATCCTGGGCTGCACCAAAAGAAGAGTGACCAGCAGGCTAAGGGAGGTGATTCTCCTCCTCTACCCCACTCTGGTGAGACCCCACTTGCAATTACTGTGTTCAGCTCTGGGATCTCAACATAAGAAGGACAATCATCTGTTGGAACTAGATGGTCTTTAAGGTCCCTCACAATCCAAACCATTCTATGTATGATTCTATGACAAAATGTCCCTCGTGTTCCAGACATTCTGTTCATTTTTGCCTCGATTCATGTCCTCCCCCTGGGTTTTTGCCAGTCCCATTCCCCTTGTCACAGCTCTGAGGTTACCAAGCCTTCCCCACTCTCCTGCCTCCTCCTGTGTCAGCAAAACATTCTTTACCTGTTGACAGTCATTCCCCAGTTACTGCCTTTTGAAGCCTCATTTCTTTCTGTTCAATAAGTAGCTTTTCTGGTCCAGTTTCTGGGGAGTGCTCTGCTGGCTAAGTGATCAATGGCAGCTCCACCATGGGATCCCATTAGCCTGCCCATTCGGGCTGTGAATCAATGGCACACCACTGCAGCTTGCCCTCACACATCTGCTGTCCCTGAGTGTTTGTGGCAGCTGCACTCAGGAGATTTGGCCCAGACATTGCTCACAGATTGCTCAGCACAACTGTTTGCCACTGCAGCCACGCAGTGTGACAGTACTGCCCCTGCCTTCACTGGGGTGACAGGCTGTCTTTAGAACTAACTGATAACTCCTGAGGTGAAGTACACTGAACAATGAACAGCCTTTTTTCCCCCTGCAGTGTCAATATTTATCTCCCAGCCGTTACAGTGCCAAAAGGCATTTCATGGCTCATGAACTCACGGGGGCACTTTATGAAAAAGCAACAACTGGAGTACAGTGACATTTATTTTAGTCACAGTGCTCCCTGTGCATTGCTAGAGCATCAGCTCTCAGGCTGCTGATGGCAGCTGCAGTGATGCAACTTCTCTAAAGCCATCATTATTCCGCCAGGTACCCCCCACTGCTTCAAGGGATCATGAGATGCTTCTGCCTTAGAAGCTGCGTCTTGCTGGGGCTGAGGGTGAATGAAGCAACTGAAGCTTTTTTTTAAGCCCAAGATTTACTGTGGCACTTATAGCCACTCCAACACAGTAAAAAGTGTTGCAGGACTTCACAGGACATGTGTTAGAGGAGTGTCAGGTCCACACTTCCAGTGCACACCAGAAAACCCACAGTATTCTTCATCTTTGAAATAAGAGCTTCTGGAAGTAACTATAACAATTGTGAGAGAAGTCACTATCAATCTTGGCGTTTTCATTTGTAATTAGTTATGCAGCATACTCTTCCCACCTATAAATGATACTCTCTTTTCTCTACAGGAGGCAATATATCTGTAGTAGACGGTGACCTATTTTACACTCTTGTTAGAATAATTTCATTAGGATCTGAGAACATTTCTTCCTTGAGGAGTTAAATCAAGACATGGTTTCAGTTCCTCAGGAAAAAAACAAGACGTGGTATATTTTCCTCAAGAGAAAAGCAAAAGTATGTTGCTGAAGTAATGGAGCCAGATTTACATGGTCTTTCCTGGGTCCAAAGGATGACATCCTTGGAGAGTGGTACTGGTGGGTTTGGCAAACTGGGCTAACACATTATTACCAGATTTCATTAAGTTCTGGGACAGCCTGTCCTCTCCATCCCTTGTGGTAATCTTAGGGTGGCAGATGAGGGAAGAGATGTCAGAACAGATCCTGTCTCAGGAAATATTGTTGGCAAGTGGCTGTGGCATAATCTCTGTCCCTTTGGTTACTTGCGTCATCAGCAATATTATGGCTCGTGGCTCTGGCTGCAGCTCACTCCAAACCTCCCACCCTGAGCAGAGGTGCCTGCCACCCCAGGAAGCTGACAACTGGGGCAGAGATACCTGGTAGCTGTTTCCTGCTTGTATACCTTGTGCTTGGGTGATGCTCCCACTCCTCCTGTGGTGCAGAGACTGCGGACGCTCTCCCCCTACCCTGTGAAACCACCACGTGCTTAACTTTGTAGATACGAGCTCTGCAGCTCACGCTGTGCTGTGGTGCAGAGGATCCACAGCCTCTCCCACCACTGATGCAAGGCAAGGGAGGGTGTGGAGCTTGCTGAGCCAGATTTCAGCAGGAATTTTAATCGGAAAACAATGAAAGTGATGAAATGTCCCCCATCCCTGCCAGCTATGCCATGATGCTCAGCTCTGGGCTCTCCCTCCCTAGGTGGAGACTGGTAGGCTCCTTGTGTGGTGCCTCCTGTGATGCACGCACTATGTTGTACAGCCTTCATGCCATGCTGGGCAGGAGGATGGCAAGAGGTGTGCTCTCCTCAGTCTGCCCATAAAACTATGGCTAGTCAAGGCTTTGCTGAAAAGCTACCCTTATCCAGCACTGCACTGCAGGGGACACAATGCACTGTGTAATATACTAATTCCCAGGGATAGCGTAGGATAGAAACACACTGATTTGTACTCAGACTGGGAGAGCTACAAAGTTGTGAGCTGTAAACTAGCCACTAAAAACTGAGGAAAGTTAATCAAAAAACGTATTTCATCTTGGCATTTGGTAAGCCCGTATTTGCTTGTAATTATGTTGGGTCATGTGTCTTTATGATTTGTAGGTTTAAAGATGGTGAAGAAAGGTGACCCACTGCTATTGCAGGTGTTTAAATCTATGAACAGAAATGGGGAAAGAGGACTATTTTTAATGTTCACATCACGAAGTCTGTGAAACGGTGTTATTCAGAGTTGTTCTACCATCTTATTTTTGAGCACCACAAAAGTTCAATGAGAACCCCATTTTAATCCAGTAATACTGGAATATAGATCAATCTCAGAATGCAAAATATGCAGGGCCAGGAGACGTATACATACGTGTTACATTTTGCACTTTCTTTGTTCTTTGCGTGGACATGGACACTACTGAAGAAGAAAAATGAAACAAACCTCCACATATAGGTTGTTCACAAAATGCCATGCCACTGGTGGTCGTGGCACTGTACCTGATCTTGCAAAAATGAAAGGGTCCCTGTGTGGCAGAAATTGCATCCAACTGCATCTAAGGGGGTGTGTTTGGTGGTTTTGTATTGTATG